TCGTAGAAAAATCGTCGGAGAGAAGGCATTTTTTTCTTTTAACGTAGTTACAAGGGGCCTTTGCTGGATTTATCGGGTTGTCCGGAAAATAATGCAGGATTTTAAGTTTTCATTAAAAAAAATCTATATAAAATATTCTGTTTACGTTTACAGGATTACTCATTTGTATGNTTATTTTGATTAAAGAACATTGCTTTAAAGTAACTAGTTTCTTTTTTTTTGTTTAATACCAAAATCCTGCATTATTTTCCGGACAACCCAATATATAAGTACCACAATAATAAACGACCATCGGCGGCATTAAGGGTTTCTTTGCCCCTGAAAATCCGGTAGTAGGACTGCATTCCACGTTCGCTATGAGTACTGGCCGTGTTCTAAGTTGTAGTCGGGTCGAGTAATGGCATGACCGCCGGCCCAACACCATCAGGATGATGAAGCTTAAAAAGAACAAGTACAGAAGAGGATGTACCGTCTAGAAAAAGCGAAAATGGAAACGGCGATGTTTATTTTATTATATTATTTTTCTTTTCCTTTTTAAATATAAATATCAACAGTGCGATAAAGGTTGAAAAATATATTCAGTTTAAGAAATAACAGTTATTCACATAGAAACATCAAATCCAATGTGCTCTAAAACTTCGTTACAAAAGAAGGAAATTCATGTATTTAGATAGATTTATGGATGCAAGATTAGGTATTGTTGTGCTAATAAATATTGTAAAAATAATGTAGTGGTAAAGCTAGATGGCTAAATCTAAACTAATATTTTTAATGGGAGAAAAATGAAATACAGGGTTTTCCTTTATAAAACAATGACGCAAAATTAGGTCTCATGGACCTGTTTATCAACGTCAAGTAAGACCCGGGGAGAAAGAAGAGGTAGTGTGAGTGAGTGAGTGAGAGAGAGGGGGAGAGAGAGAGAGAGAGAGAGAGAGAGAGAGAGAGAGGAGAGTGAGAGGGAGAGGGAGACACGGGAAAGTTAGAAAGAGGGAAGAGTGGGTGAGAGGAAAGTGAGAGTGAAAAAAGAAGAGGGTGTTAGAGAGAGGGAAAGAGGGAGGAAGAGTGAGCGGGATAGAGATACTAAAGAAATAGATATCGAGAGAAGAAAGTGAAAGAGAGAGAAAAGGAGAAAAATAGAGAAAAGAGAGTGATAGAGAAAGAAATAGGGAGAGAGAAAGAGAGGGAGAGAGAAAAAGAAGAGAGTGTTAGAGAGAGAGAGAGAGAGAGAGAGTGAAAAAAAGAAGAGAGTGTTAGAGAGAGAGAAAGAGGGAGAGAAAGTGAGCGGGATAGAGATACTAAAGAAATAGAGATCGAGAGAAGAAAGTGAAAGAGAGAAAAGGAAAGAAATAGAGAAAAGAGAGTGATAGAGAAAGAAAGAGGGAGAGAGAAAGAGAGAGAGATAAATAAGAGAGTGTTAGAGAGAGAAAAAAAGAAGAGGGTGTTAGAGAGAGAGAAAGAGGGAGAGAGAGTGAGCGGGATAGAGATACCAAAGAAATAGAGATCGAGAAAAGAAAGCGAAAGAGAGAAAAGGAGAAAATTAGAGAAACGAGAGTGATAGAGAAAGAAAGAGGGAGAGAGAAAGAGAGGGAGAGAGAAAAAGAAGAGAGTGTTAGAGAGAGAGAGAGAGAGAGAGAGAGAGAGAGCGGGATAGAGATACTAAAGAAATAGAGATCGATAGAAGAAAGTGAAAGAGAGAAAAGGAAAGAAATATAGAAAAGGGAGTGATAGAGAAAGAAAGAGGGAGAGAGAAAGAGAGAGAGAGATAAAGAAGAGAGAGTTAGAGAGAGAGAAAAAAAGAAGAGGGTGTTAGAGAGAGAGAAGGAGGGAGTGAGAATGAGCGGGAGAGAGATACTAAGGAAATAGAGATCGAGAGAAGAAAGTGAAAGAGAGAGAAAATGAGAAAAATAGAGAAAAGACAGTGATAGAGAAAGAAAGAGGGAGAGAGAAAAAGAAGAGAGTGTTAGAGAGAGAGAGAGTGAAAAAAGAAGAGGGTGCTAGAGAGAGAGAGAGCAAGAGGGAGAGAGAGTGAGCGGGAGAGAGATACTAAGGAAATATAGATCGAGAGAAGAAAGTGAAAGAGAAAGAAAAAGTGAGAGAAAAGAAATATAAAGTGTGACAGAGAGAGAGAGTGGGCGGGAGGTAAAAAAGACAAACAGTGTTTGGTAATGAAAAATATGTAAATTATCGTCAAGATCGGGATAATTGCACTAAGAGAAACAATTTTTAATATAATAGTAAAGAGTAGTATTGGAAAAAAAATTCAACGCGTGGTTGTTCCTTCAAATCGGTTCAATACGATCGTGCAGGATCGCCTAAAACCCGGTCGGTTTGATTATTCGTAGATGGCAAAAAAGCCATATGTGGGGGGACCGTGCTTCCAGAGTCAATCAGGGTGCCAGAGGAGGGTTCGTCCAATTGTGAGTAATGGCGTTGACGTCATTAGGTAGTGACGTGACCGGCCGAGATGCCTTGTTACAACTCCCATGGTTGTTAGACTAACAGCAATCCGGGCCAAACCGCATTCGCCACAAATATAGAAGTGTCTGCTGCCCGGCTGCTCCCTTGGAACCGCAGGACACCGCGACCGATTGGATACGTGCTTTGGGGGACTGGCACCTTTCTAAACATTTCTACCATAAGTGGAAAAGTTCCACCTTCATTTTAACGCTATCCCTCAAAATATTCTCTAGCAAATGGTTACCCATAACGACTATATTTCTGCAACCATACATTGAATTGTATAAATTGTTCACTCATAGTGAAAATCTACTTTTACTCGTAGAATAAAAAATATTCTTTTGTATGGCAATACTTTAAGCTAAATCTTTTTTGTCTTTAGAAAGTAGATGAAAAATTAAATACCGGGGCGTCGGTGGCCGCAACAGTTTAGGCGTTGACACGGCGCTCATCACTGTTAGGTAAAGGTCCCGGGTTCGAATCCAGCGGCCCTGCATTCAAACCAGACGTACTTACAAATGAACTTTTTATCAAAAACACCGGCACCCCGAGGGTTGATATAACCTCGTAAAAAAAAAAAAATCCGCGGTCGTGTGTTAAATTCCCACCATCGCTTTTAGAACTTCATGACTCTTCCCAACTCCTAAATATGGTACTCTAGATAATATGACTTCGGGATGGTTAGGGATATGAAATGGATTTGAATATGAAATGGAATAAAGCCACCATGTTATTTATATGATATACAATTTATGTTTCGATTAAATAATTAACAAGTAAGAAAAATACCTGCTTACGTCGGCTATGTATAGCTGTATACGTGCTACAAGCTAATGAATCTTGAAGTCTTTTGCGTATGAACAATTTGTGGAAATATGGGTTGGATGCGACTTATTTAATTGGAAGGGGCGGTTGTCATGCGGAACGTAAACCACAGTTTGTACATATATCTTTGTCTAGTGCGTCATATGGTTTCATACGTTACCATAGTCCCCCCAATATTTTGGTTGACCGGTATCTTTCATTATTAATACTTAAAATTATACATATAAATTCGAATATTTTATGCAGTTATTTTCATTTAGACGTTTCACCATCTTCACTGTTGAGTTTAAATACACAAATGAGAAAAGAGCACACAGCCCATCTACTGAGAATATATGGCAACAATAATAGGCAAGCCAAAATAATCAATAGCTGCTAAATTACAGATTTGATTCGATCGGGAGAGGAGCTCTCACGTATCAATTGCTCGATCGATAGATGACCATTGGAGGACCTGAATAGAAGAAGAGGGATGACACTCACCCGATTAAAAACATACGTACATTTACCATTTGGCCTAAGCCCACTTATTCGCCATGTAAAAAATGGCTGTTCGTTATGTACCACATAATGGAAGCGAGTCATTCCTTGGTTCTATCTAGAGAGCGAGTAGAAATGCCATCGGATATGATACTGCTTGAGTACTGCAGCTGGTTTTTTGGTCCCCTGTTCCGATTTTTGGAGAAAACCTTTTGTTGTTTATAGTACTTGATAAATATGCCGTCTTTTGTTTTTTTTTTTTTTTTTTTGTGTATTGATATTTAACTTATTATTATTGTGAAAATGTAATGTTTAAGGGCAGAAAAATGAGTACTTCATAGACCCGAAATAAGATTAGTTAGGTAAAGATAGCATTGAATGGTGAAGAGTGTCACAGGAAAGTAGACCACCATAATTGAGTATCCGTTATGCAGAGTGTGTGGTATGTAGAGTGAGAAAGAGTGGCCACACTCAAGATTTAAAATCTGCATGCGTTACAGACTGAAATTATCTAGATGTTATTAGCTCCCCGAGCGTAGCTTGACGTTCTGACGTTCGAACATCCAAAACCTGAGGATATTGATTCTCGCCTCGACAAGTCATAATTTCGATCCTGCACGCGTGAATATGTATGTACATGTGTTCAGAGTTAAATTTATTTAAATTAATAATCAGTAATCAAATAACAGGTTGATCATCCGGCAGAATCTGAGTGGAGAACACGACCTAGTACGTGTTAGGAATGTGATGTTGATATTATGAGAATGATGGTAGAACCGCTAACTGGTCATTGCAGATTCCAAAGAAATATTTACAAACACAAGCCTCTGCAGATAAAGCAAAGAAGAAGAAGACACGGAGGAGCATATCTTCTGTTGGTGCCAAGACCTATAGCTGATATTCCTTCTACTGGGAGGGAAACCCAGACTTGGAGAGTCCTGGGCGAAGATTTGGGATCTGATAAAAAGGATTAATCTTAGTGGAGATGCTACGTAGACCAATATTGGTAAAGTTGCTTAAGGTCAGAATGGGGCAGATTACTTTTAACCTGAACATTAACCAATCAGATGACAAAATGATCTCACAATAATTTCATTTATTGCAATGGATTTTACTTTATCTTATCCCATAGAAAAAATTATATTACCTTATAACTGATTGTGTTAGGTAGTAATAGAAATCTGCTGATTGTCCGATAGTTCGTGGATAATTTCTAATTAATTATAGATAATTCAAAATGGAACAAAACTCTGAAATTTATTTCACATATAATCTATAATGGGGCGAAGCGGAAAGAAAGAGAAAATTGAGAACTAGAGAAATCGTGTGGTTTCTGCTTTCTGCAGTACTAGAGTTTTCTTTAGATCGCTTTGATCGATTTGCTGATTTTCATACTTTAGGCATTAATTTTTCAAACTTTTTGTGGTAGTTTTCTTTTTCATCTTTCATTTCTGCCAACGTTTTGACTGCGTAGCAGGTTTCCGTCTGTGTCGCTTTAGTCAACGTCTTTGCTACTCTCGTTATGGTATAACTCGGTGTCTCGGCTGATCTCTGTGATATCATAAGTTGGCCTGTGGGTGTCCACCATTTTTTGTTGGGTGGTCCCATACCGTGCACTATATCGTAATCGTGGCATAGTCCCAGCCTAAGGGCTCTTTTTCGTTTCGCCATCTCTTGTTCAACATAACGACACTTTCGGGCATCCATGTTGCCCATGAAGAAGGCGTCATCCTTCTCTTTCAACTGGAGGGTAGTTCCTGGTGAAAATATTACTGTAGCGTTACTAGATATTCTCTCCTTGAAAACTAACGTTTGCTGTGCTGCTGGTTTTTCGTAATGATATTTCTCTAATAGATTTCCAGTTCCATCGACATATTTGCCGTCTATTTCTAATATTTTACCATTATCATCTCGGAGTAAGTTATTTGCGTCGACACGATGTCCATTTTTCATTACAGCTGTTCCATCTTTGTTGTACAACAAATTGTCTTTCCCGACGTAATGTCCATTCTTTTTCATTAACTTTCCGTTTTTATCGCGAAGTAAAAAGTTCTTTTCCGGACTTATTACGTCTTTTTCGGAATATATTTCTTTACTTATTGTAGTACCGTCTTTATCTTGCAATGACATATTGATATCAAGAAAATAGCCATCTTTCGTTAGGGGTTCATCATTGTTATCACGTAACAACATGTTTCTATCTACATTATGTCCGTTCTTCTTGATGGCATTTCCTTTATGATCTTTCAAAAGACCATCCTTGCCAACATAAAATTTATTATCTACCATTTCCAAATTCCCATTTTTGTCACAGATAAGTCCATCTTTATTCACAAACTTACCGTCTTCTTGTACCAACGGTTCGCCGTCCCTGTTACACAAAATGCCCTTTTTATTCACATAATTGTTGTCGACCATTAACAAGTGGCCTTCATTGTCGCAAAGAACACCGTCTTTATTTATATTATGACCAAAAGAAGTGGCCAAATTTCCTTTCTCATCACATAAAATGTTGTTCGGACTCAAAAACAAATCGCCGGCTTGAACTAGATTGCCGGTAGAATCGCACAACACTCCTTCTTTATTGACAAAACGACCATTCTTTTTTATAGGCGTCCCATTTATGTCGCATTTTAAACCGTCCTCCCTAATGTAAGCATTGTCTTGTAGCTTAGGTTTGCCCATCTCGTCACACAATATTCCATCTCTATTTACAAAAAAGCCTTGACTTTGTTTTAAGTTTCCATCCAGGTCTGTCAACAAACCATCCTTGTTTATCGCGTAACCATCTTGAATAACAACATTACCATCCTTGGTGCAGAGTTGTCCCTTCGCGTTTATTACATAATCATCCACTGTTATTAGTTCTCCACCATGTGTTCTGAGGAAACCATCAGCACCGATGTTGCAGTTGAACGAAGTAACTAATTTACCGTCGTCATCAATGTATAAACCGTTCTGAGAAATGTAATATCCGTCTCTCTTTGCAGGTCTTCCATCGTTATATACAAGAATTCCGTCTTTATTAACGCGAAATCCTTCTATGCCGAGTACGAAATTTCCATCTTTGTCACGTGCGAACCCTTTCTTATCGACGAAATGCCCGTCCGGTGTAGTTATGTATTTCCCGGTGATACTATCTTTCTCGAACAACAATTCTGTCAGTTGAGAAGGAATTGCCTTTCGCACTCGGCCAAAGGCGTCTCTAACTGGTACCTGATTTTCATCGACCAAATACAGATTTTTATCAATTAAGTGATTTTCTTTAGTTCTTAAAACTTTTCCATCAGCATCTGCCAACAAACCACTGTCATTAATAAAAAAGCCTTGATATGTTTTGACGAATTCACCATTTGAATCCCGAAGAAGTCCATTCTTGTCCAAATAATGGTATCCGTCTTTTGATTTGACAAAATCACCATTTTCTTTTACCAACATACCGTCTTTGTTCACAAAATGACCATTGACAACTAACCTTTCCCCATTTTTATTCAACAACAAACCTTCCTGGGAAACGACATAGCCATCTGTAGTTACCATGTTACCACCTTTGTTTACGTAAAAGCCATTATTTACGACCAGGTCACCATCTTCGGTTCTCAAAAGTCCCTCTTTGTCGACAAAATATTCATCCTGTCTGACCAATCTGCCTTCAGTATCTCTCAAGTACCCGTTTTTGTCAACCGTATAACCATCCTCGGTTACTACCAATTTCCCATTGGCGTCTTTCATGAGTTCATCAGATGTCACTTGTGTAAGGACCGGATGAGGATACGACCATTTTGAATCATGTCTTTTTATTTTATCGCCTTGCGCTTTCGCTTTGGAAAATTGTTTTTGGAAATCTGTGTCGAAACTTCCTACTAATTTTTCCTTATTTTCGGTAACTGTATCGATCGAAGAGGGCAACTCCATGGGGATTGAATAAATATGTGCGCCTCCTCCACCATTTAAATCAGGCATGGAATAGCTACGGAAAGGCAATTTCGACGGGTCCGTAGGTATCGACAGTCGTTTTTTTGTTGTCACTTTTTCGCCTTCCGGCAAAGATATTGATTTGGTTACCTTTATCTTGCCCTTAAATAATTTAGAATGGCGTTCCTTGATAACTTTGAAATGAGGAGAACTCTCATCAAGTAAGGGGCGATAATCGGTTCTTTTGCCAATTTGGTTTCCTGGAAAAAAACAACAAAAACAACAATTTAATACCCAATACTCATAATAATAAAAAGAAATCTGGAGAATACCTCACTGGCACTCTCAACACGACACACAAGAATGACACATCTACACGGAAAACAGATACTTCGAGTGAGTACAAATACTTTGATTGAATCTAAAATTTTCTAGCATTGTATAAATTCATTCTTTTTTAAATCTATTTTTTTAAACTTTTTATTTGTTTTTTACAACTGCATTCTTCGACGCAACAAGTAAAACAGATAGTATTTACATATAAAATTATTAACGGTAGCTTGAAAGCTTAAACAATTACCATCCAGTGATGGTAGCCGTTAGTCAATCAATACGATGAGCGAGATGTACTCCATCGTAGGAGACCGATGTCAATTGTTAAGGTTGTGGCGCCACCGACGCTTCAGTCTTCTGTTAGTATTATTAGGTAATGTGGTGGATGACAGGTTTTTGACGAAAGGGTTCGGATGGAGGAGTAGTTTGGAATGGAACGTTTTGTAGCGGGATTGGGCTAGTTCGGTAACAAAAGGGACATTTAGGTCGCTATGGATGGTGTGATTGGATACATAGAAAGGGGCTTGTACTATTGCTCTGAGGATTTTAGATGAAGGGATTGGATTCGATTGAGGTTGGAACGCTTAGCAGTACCGTAAAGTTCAAGTCCGTGTCCAAATGGGGGCCAGGAGGGCAATGTAAAGTTTTCTTTTGTTTGTTAGTGAGAGTTTTGATCGTCTGTCGAGTAGTCGTTTAAGCATGAAATATCGTATATTACAGTCAGTGCGCTTAAGTCGTGTATGGGGGTTCCACGTCAGTCGTTTGTCCAGGTAGAGTCCGAGGTATCGTACATGGTTCGCAATTGGGATGGGGACGTTGTTGGGGTTTACTGGTGGGAGTGTTTTCTTGTTTAGAGTAAATATTATGTTCGTTGATTTGGTTTCGTTGATCTTGATTCTCCACCGACGGAGCCAGCATTCTAGGGTGTTAAGGTGATTTTGAAAATTACGGGAAGAAGTGAAAGGATCTTTATCAGGAGAAAGGATTGCGGTATCAACGGCAAACGTGAAGGTGCTAGTGTTAGGTTGCGTAGGTAGGTCGGAGGTATAAATTGAATAAAGGAAAGGAGCGAGCACGCTGCCCTGCGGGACACCTGCAAGAATAGTATGGATAGACAATGAATTTTTGTGGGATACTTGGAAGTAACGATCGCTAAGATAGGATTTTAGGATAAGGTAATAGGTTGCGGGTAGGATGTTCTTGAGCTTCCACAGCAGCCCAGAGTGCCACACTCGGTCAAAGGCTTGGTGTATATCCAAGAACACACCCGGGCAATATTGTTTTAGCTCAAGGGATGTGGAAATAACGTGGATTATGCGTTTTTAAATCTAAAAATTTTTCTAGTATTGAATAAATTCATTTTTTTCACATCCTACATGTACATGTAAAATTTAAAAAATATTAATACCAGGCCCTGAAGATGATCTCAATAAAGATCTAAACGATGGCATGATAAAGAAAATGTTTTTCTAAAACTTACGTAACACCAGACCGCACATCACGATGTCCAAAATTATACTTTGCATATCTTCGAATTTCTTTTAGCTAGAAGCTTTAATCCAATTCCCATAATATAAATACCTTGACATGTTTAGTGGGTATAATAAATTTAAAGGTAAAATAATCAATTTGACTATTGCAATACATCAATCACCATGCTATGGTAAGTAAAGGATTTAATTAAACTATTTTCCTAATCTCATTTCATCAATTGCCGGAAAACATTTTTATATGAATTTTGACTGAAAAATGAGGTAAGGGAAGTGTTACTTACGTGAGAACGTAACTACAAAGTAGACCTCTCTCGGCTTAAGCAGAAGAAGGCCACTCTCTCCCAGATCAAGCTGACTTAATTCAAGAAAATCACCATTCCCATTTGTCAAATCAAATTCACCTGAAAAATAGTCTACTTGTAAATAATAACTGGCGTAGTTTAAAAAAAAAATTACATTTATTACATTCTATATTTTATTTACATTATGTAGGCTGTATTTACAGTATTTACAAATGGCATTAGGCCATCTGTCGTGAGGGGTGTTAACAACGATTATTTTTATTCCAACTGCAAGTTATTCGCTAAGACTAATCTTCGTTTAGTAAGTCGCACGGCCAGCTTGTCTTCAGCAGTCTGGTCTGGTGGGATTATAGGGGTAGTTTCTATTTGATAAGGATTGGGAAACTCGATTGGGAAGAGAAGAAAATTTTCCAGCTTTCCCACTAGAGGGATTTTAAGGTCATTGTGAAGTGTAAATTGGAGGGTAGAAAGATGCATTGACTGTGTGTGGTTCTGAGGACCTTGGATTGGAAGTACTGTATTCTTTGGATGTTGGACGGTTTAGTGGTACCCGTTCTAGTCCATACGTCCATATATATATTATGGGAGATGCGAAGACCCGAGGGGTTAAATGCCTGGGTAGAGTCGTACCCCACCCTAAAAGGTCCGGGACTTGGTCGGCTCACGCGTTCGCATAAACCTCTTGGACCTGTTCACAAACCCCAAGATTTTGAACCTTTTAATCTCGGGGAGTGACCTGGTGATGTCCTCTCCTTCAAAAGTTCTAAATCTAGATCTAACATACCTATCACACTCTGCGAGGTACTGCCTTGCCGTTTCTTATTTTATTTCGCAAAAACGACAAAAGGGTTCTGGAAGAATACCCATTACGGAGAGGTGTCTTCTCAGTGGGCAGTGGCCAGCCAGGATACTTGTCAGCCTCCTAATTCCCTTCCTTGAGTTAGAAAATAGCCATTTCGATTCTGCTGGTTTGATCTCCTTAACAAACTCTTTCGATTTCCTGTGTCCGGGGTACAGATTCCATTCCTTAAGGAATTGTTTCATGCCCCAGCTTTTAATACTCTCTTTAGCTTGGTCTCTCGCTTCCAGATTGGTTTAATCCATTATATTTCTTAGTCCGATTGACCAAATAACTTCTTTCAATTAATTAATCTTTATGTAAGGTATTGGTTGAAATGAAAAAATCAGTGTCACGAGCGGATTCGAATCCACGACCTCGGCTAAATACGCCGGTTCTGTACTACTTGAGGTATCGTGACTTCGATCCACTCGGACACCAACTTCCCATCTCAATCCACCTTTCGAATTTTCCATCCTTTTTGCCATATTTCAAATGTCGTGTAATCAGGATTCTCGGCGCCAAATGGAAAGGTCACGGAGAGCTTTAGTGAAGATATACTTCGTTTTACTTATTAAATCCATTATATTTCTTGTCCATTTGACAAAATAACGTCTTTCAATTAATTAATCTTTATGTAAGGTATTGGTTGAAATGAAAAAAATAGTGTCACGAGCGGGATTGGTTGAGATGGGAAGTTGATGTCCGAGTGAATCGAAGTCACGATAGCTCAAGTGGAAGAGCAGCGCGTATTTAGCCGAAGGTTGTGGGTTCGAATCCCGCTCGTTGGTGTGGTTTGATTAAGCCTTCCTTCAATGTTAACTCTGTCAATTTTGATTCTAGTCGCCATTCGTATATTTATAAAAAAAACAGTTCTAATCTAATAGATAACTATCGCATGTTAAGCTTTGTTATAATAATAATAATCTTCACTATTATAATAACAATCTATTATAATAACAATTAATTTGTAAACCCAAGATTATTTTGAGATCATAGATGCGGTCTGGTGTGACGTAGGTTTAGAAAAAGATTTTCTTTATCGTGCTAACGTTTCGATCTTTATTGAGATCATCTTCAGGGCCCAAGATTTATAAACATTTTTAAAATTATTCAAATACATGTAGGATGTGAAAAAATAAATGTATAAAATGCTAGAAATTTTAGAATCAAAGTATTTGTACTCACTCAAAGTGTTTGTTTTCTGTGTAGATGTGTCATTATTGGGTGTCGTTTTGAGACGTTAATATCATTAATCCAATTCAACATCAATAACATACAAATATCGTACAAAACATATAATAAAACATATAAAACAATCATTATTTTCTCTCGTCGAACATTTCTACATAGTCCAGTTCTTCAACCATTTGGCTTTCCTTTCCCTAATTACCCTGTGTATATAATACAAAAAGATAATCAGGCTGAACCTTTACCCATTCTTTCCCATTGTCGGCTCATTTCACCTCAAAGAAACCGACTCCTCATATAAAAATGTTTTTTTTTTTATCGCTACTTCCTTACTCACCCCTTCAAAATCCAACATATACATACATAAAACATCAATATCTCACTGGCACTCTCAACACGACACACAATAATGACACATCTACACAGAAAACAAACTCTTTGAGTGAGTGCAAATAGTTAGAGTCTAAAATTTCTATCATTGTATAAATTCATTTTTTCACATCCTTCATGTCTTTGTTTAATTTAAACAATTTTTATTAATCCCAGGCTCTGAAGATGATATCGATAAAGATCGAAGCGTAGGCACGATAAAGAAAATGTTTTTCTGAACCTACGACTCAACAGACCGCATCTCAAAATAATCATTAATTAACGGTCACTAAACACCACACACTTTTGTTAGAGGTTTAAAAATGTTTTATTGTAATCAAATTTATTTGATTAGGCAGGCAATGTAACGTGTAAGTTTACTTCTTCAATTCTTAATTTATTGATGTATTGTATGCTTAATTGTTATTGTAAGCCTAAATTGTTGTAATTGCCTTTATACCCTGAAGAGGACTGGAAGAAAGGTCGAAAGCTTGGCGTGAAGGTACAATACTCACTTCTTTCTGACAGCATCCCTGATCCGCAACAAATTGGTATTCTCGATTGCATGTTCAATCAGTTGTGAAAAACATTTTCAGCTTTTTAACTGCGAAGCTTCATGAATGTAGGGGGAACTAGATTCTTCTTGCGGCACTCCATGTCAGACAAAGAAGAAATCCGTATGATCAGAATAATGGAAGTATCAAGGAAAAGCACCCAAGTCTTTTTTCCGAATTGAAGGCTCTCATCCCCTGAATCAAATCCTGATCTTAACATCCTTGCCCAGTTGAGTAGTTATTACCAATAGAGAAAAGATATTTTTTAACTTTTGAAAAACTTGTTTTGGTAGTTGGGTGCATTTTTTCTTCATCGGGCATTCCCGTGCTAGATGCGACAAAAAAAGCAAATTGAAATACTATAAGTGAAGAATGTATGTGTTCATATATCATATTTATGTATCTGTCGAATAATTGAGCTGGTGTTAACAATAGTTCACGTAGGAGATTACCTATTCTTCTTGACAGCCATATTTTCATTTGCGTAAAATTTAACATAACCTCATTGGGTGAATTACTATTCTTCATTAAAGACCAATTAACACTGTCCATGTAGACTTTAAAAATAATACCATCTGTCTAATTTTAAAATGTATTTAAAAAATATACATAGATTAATATAGATAATCATTATCGGTATTGTAAACAATGGGACAACAATGGTTTTGTGAATTTTTGAAAACCTGATTTTACTAAAGGGATCGTAAATGTATTTTTTTTAATGTTGAAACATTTGTTCATATATTTTTTACGAGAACGAAGTAAAAATAAACATCGAAAGAACTGGCATACTTACGTTTTGGGTGAATTTTTAGGCTTATTCTTATATAATTTAAGATCAATTTCATGCAGCAGTTTGGATTGACCAACAGAGTTTTGTGATCTATCAACAGGTTTAAAAGTAGTAAAATGATTCGAGACAAAAACGTGAATCTTAAAATTTACCGTTGTACACCACGTAGACAATCATCGTAAAAGTATTTTATTTTTGAGTTAATCTTGAAAAAAAAATGTTTAAAACTACTCTAAACTACTAAACTACTACTTTTTTCATAAATGTACACTACAATAAAACATCTAATTCTACGTAATTTTCATATGCTCATTAATTTTTAGTAGTGAAATCATATCACTACCACATGGACTGATAAACAATGTTTTTTTACTCTAAAATAAATGGATGGAAGCGTTCGAAAATGATTGCCATTTCAGGCTCGTGCGAGGTCTGTCCTTTCCGTTTCTGCAGATCATCGTCGCAAGTGATATCGCCCTCGTGGAATTATTTCACACAATATCGATTAATGGAATGTCACAAAGTTTTTGCTTTTGTTTTCGTAAACCGGAGTTCCGGCCGGTACGTTTATGGAGTCACGCCTTTCTCCCAAGTCAAGACCCTTCTGTCACGGACGGCTGGAATTGATTGTATACCCGGACACGGGCTACAAGTGCAACATCATGCAAAAACACTTTTCGGACACGATGAAAAAAAAAAAAGTTTCAAACTCCCACCCTCGATTTACAAAGCGTTGGCTTAACTGGTTTGATTCATGTGGCTTTTACCGAACATATGTAGTTGAGTTTTCTTTTTCCCATTTATTAGTATCATAGAGGTTCACGTTTCTTGTTTTAGATCGTCCCATATCGAACTTATTCCTAGATGTTTTTTAAAGTGAAGTACGGAGGTAATACAGCTTACTTTGATTTTTATTATGATAAAATTGGATTTTTACTATTTTTCATCCGTTCCATTAGCTAGAATATCTGTTTACAATATTAAACAAAACCTATTAAATATTTTGTTCAATTACAACTATCAACGTGAGATAAATGTGCACAATCTCAACAACTTTTGAATAAAAATGAGAAAAACTTTTTTTTCGATAGGGTGAATCGGTTCAGGCAATTACTAATCGATAACTGTGAATATCAGTAGAATTACGAATGTCAAAATTGCAATTTATATTGCTATCTGATAAATCGACTATGATAATCAACACGGTATTGTCATTAAAACGGTGATATTTACATTTGTCATAAAAAGGACGTTATTTACGAATAAGTGCTTATTTTTCTGTAGTTGAATTGACATTTCACCTGGGCAAAAGACCAGCTGATTATCACTCGGTTGGAAACAGATTTATCTGTTGGAATAATTTATTATGTATTATCTGTTCTAAAATATACCTTGGGACGATAGTACAAAATATGTATTGTAGAAAACTGTGTGCAAAAAAAACTTGTCTTGAGCTGGTCAATCAATACCTCAGTGACATAAATTTTTTAATCGTATGTACGTTTGTTTTTGTATGTATGTTCTTTATTATTATATATAGTGGGGCCAGACACATCGACCTATCAAATATCAAACTCATCGGGCTCGAGTGAAAATTTATGAGATGTATAGCTGTTTTTATTGGGCTGAACGAAAGGAGTAAAAGATAAAAAAGTTCTTATTTGTTTCGCTAACCTTATATCGAGTACGTAAGTTATTAGTATAGACGTAGAGACCGTGCGTAATAGCAAATACTGAGGGCCAATATGAATAATAAACTCTGGTGGGTGAATGTGATTTATTAACTTGAATGGTAACGTGATTCTTCTTCAATTACCACGACGAATATCGAGTACTTCAAATGTGATTGTGATTTACTAGCAAAAATGGACAAATTTCTTCCAACATTACCCCGACGAATGTCAAGTACTCTGGAGCAGTGTGATGACGTCTGGGTGAATGTAATTTATTAGCGCGAATATAAGGGATACTTTCTTAATTGAGTATTCTCCTGCAGAATGAATGTTAATGAGACCGTGTTTTTAAATGTACATATTGTTATTATACGTGTAATGTTTGTGTGTTCGTTATGCTATCGTTGACTGACTACGCCCTAAGGTAGGGAGAGGCTGGCAATTGGGTAGAGAAATAAAACAGTTAGTTACCATAACACCCCCAACTTAATTGACATAAATATACTTGACCTCAACGTCAGAAGCCATTAATTGGAAGGAATAAAATACGAGAAGGAAAAGAGCGGCTAAGAGAAAGAGGGCTGGAGATGCCTAATGTACTTGGCCGGCCCTAAATCTGATATAAATGTTGCTGTTTATACAATTCTGACAGATCTGTCGGATCATTGCCAGGTGAGGAGGTGAGCTACTGGCTTTCCGTTTTATGAGGTTCATTCTCATAGAATTTTCCCTTTTCACCTAACTCTTTAGCTTTCAGTGTATTTAGGCTATTAGTGGCTCTTACCAGTGGTAGAACTATATGCCATCTAGTCTGGACTAGAATACATTTTAGTCTGCGTTTATACTACCTGCAATGCGATGCGATGTGAGTGTTTACGCTAGGGCAATGCGAAAGTAGCCGGCCAACAACTCTTCTGTAGCTTTTTAGACTGCTAAACTCCTTCGCCTCGCTCCGATACATACATATTATTTGAGTATGCATTGAAATTCCACATTTTATAGACGTCAGATTAAGTGCGTATTGACTGGGAGATTGATGATGACGTTTCTGATACCACGAAAACATTGTAATCATTGTTTCTCCAAGGTGTTTTTTTAATTAATTGTGATAACCTTTGGTTAGTTTGTATGTTATTAGATATTTGTCTTACACCATCGACCCGCCGCTTAAATTGTTCAAAAACTTAAAAAAATAACACGTTCGAAATCAACAATAATTGCAATTTGTGCTACGTTTACTTGAGCTACGTAAAGTACAGTCAAAGAACCCGATCACAAAAGCTGTCGAATGCCATTTCAATACAATCCAAAAACATATACACAATAAATGCATATAATCGATCGTATTAACCAAACAATAAAAATTTACCGTACTGTCCAAAGAATTTTTTGTGAGGCAAACACGCATTCATCTCCCATTCGAATCTAGAAAAGAGTGGGGCGTGTAAAACTTAAAAATTGAAAAGCTCTAATATACTAAACTAAATTCATTTGTTTTAGTGGACCAGACAGTGCTTGTAAATCCAAACTGTATTGTGAAATTGATATATGAGTATTTAAGGATAACAGCTTCGGTTCCAGATGATAGTGAGTATAAATATTAAATTTGATATAAACCGTTGATATATACATAATTTTACCACCTTTATTTTAGTGGAGATCGATTTGTACGACGAGAATGGAAAAGCGTCCGAGTTATATGCTACGCGAGTTAATGTAAATGGATTAACGAAATTTACTCCTAGGGCTACCTATTATCTTGTGATATTTGAAAGTAATTAACTCATTTTGTATATTTTATAGTTTGGTTTGAAAAAGTTAATGGTTAAATTTGTTGATTTTAGAAGATCAAACAGGAAGGATTTCAAGCGCAATTATAGGGGCTCAAAAGAACACTAAAGCTTACAAAAACATTTTAATCAAATTATTCGGAAATAAAAGGCAAAGTGGAAGAAGTATTACTTCGCGAAAAAGTGGTTTACTTAAAAAAAAAACATCTAAAACATCTTTTAGCAGTAATGATGGTTTTGAATTAAAACAAACGTTCTCGGAAGAAATCGGACATGGGCCTGGAGGTGACGCTCATAGCTTGTTGAAAGTGGCACTATCATCGGAAAGCACTGGTTCATATGTCGGGAGAGCAATCGAAAATGGTGAAGAAATGCCGCGTTTTTATGGCCGGATTGTGTACAGTGAAGATATGCCGCATTTTTATGGGCAGATTGTGTACAAAGATGACGGTACGCAGTTGGTCGACGAAGAAGGTGCGCCCCTCCTTCTATTGCTCGGAAGCGATCTCACACCGATAACCAATGCCGACGGTTCTTCCTTATACGCTGCTGGAGGTGTATTACTATCGGGGAGTGACAATAAACCATTGGTTGGACTCGATGGAAGAAGCTTATTCAGTACCGAGGGTCAAATGGTGCGCAATTACGACGGTACTGTATTTAAGGACGAAGAAGGGCAGCCTGCTTTTCTCACCCCTGGAAAAGTATTAAAAGACTCAGAGGGGCATGTTCTGTACAGTGCACATGAAAAGACGATTCTTGGGAGTTCGGGTCAATATGCCATTGGACTTGATGGGCGTAATTTGCAGCAAGAATCTAGAATATATCAACAGTCGTCACAAGAAAATATCGAGTACGTGTCAAAACCTGTCCTGGACGTCACTGGATCGCCTATTTTCGACAAAGACGGAAACCCAGTATATACCACCTTGTTGCCTCACTTTGGGGATGACGGCAAACCTATTTTAGACGAGGATGGCCGGCAGTTATATGTTGAGGCGAATCCGTTGTACGGTCCGGATAAAATGCCAGTACAGCTTCCAAATGGATCACTCCTTTATGTAGGGGAATTGAAAAGATTATATACTTCTAAAGGTAAAGCTGCTGCGGATAATACTGGTCGACCGTTATATAGTGGTAACGTGAAAGTCCTTTACGGAGCTAAGGGGAAACCGATTGTTGGGAACCACGGGAAAGTGTTATACGGTCACGCCAAGAAAATTATGCGCAGACCGGACGGCGGCGTTTTGAAAACAAAAGAGGGAACAGTTATGCATTGGCCATCAAAACGACCTCTTTACACTAAGGGCGATGTGATAATTTATGGTGGAAACAGTCGTCGTCTAAAAGAAAAAGACGGTAAAACTCTCGCTTGGCCGGATGGTAAACCAAAATACGGAGTAGTGGGTGACCTCAAGTTTACGTCAGACGGCCAAATCGCGCTTGGGCCTGATGGATTGCCAATATATTTGCCACCTGGACGTAATATGTTCGGGCTCGATGGAAATCCGATAAGCGGCCTGAATTGGACGAAACTCGTCGATCGAAGTGGAAGGCCGATGTACGATGAAAAAGGCCGGCCGCTTTATGGAGTTGATGGCGATGCGTTGTATGGACCTTCCTCACAAAAACCGATGTTTAATCAAAAGGGTGAAATTCTCAAAGGCGAAGATGGAAAACCAATGTACTGGCCCGACGATTCCTTGATATACAACGCGGAAGGAGAATTCCGCGATTTGTTCTACGGGAAACCTATAATACAGAACAACGGCAAACTGCTTCTTGACGCTAAAGGTGCTCCAGTTATGGCACCACATTTTGAAGGTATGACAAAGGCCTACATGTACAAGCCTGCAGAAGATCCTACTAATTGGGTAACTAAAGGGCCATCACATAAAGCTCAAATAAAAGACGCAGACATTTATCCAAATGCTGCTACACAATCTTGGATGTGGAATAAACCAAAATCCCAAGGAGATGAATGGATTGCTAGACACCTCATTCCTAGGGATACATTCACTAAAGACACGTTGAGACATCCTTTTTCGAAAAAGGATGTACAAACCAATGAGCCACCTGTAAATTATTATCCGGTCGATAAAGTGAAAGACACGGCCTCGGTCGATGGAGGTGGTGATTGGGCAGTAATCGATCCAAAATGCATTAAAAGAATTTCAGAGTTGCAAAAAAGACCCCAAACTACCCCCTCATACAATTCAGCCAAAATGACAGATGCCGACTATCTACTTCTCTTGCATCCTCATATGGGAAAATTTAAGCAGAGTCACGGAACATACCTGTAAAAATATCATAAGAAATAATGTAACGGCATTCGATAAGCAACCATGTCTGGTATTTACTTTCATCGTTTTCTGGTGTACTAGTAAACAAACAGTAATATTTTTACACAAATAAACGTGTCACCTGCAGATTCTTCAAGATATACTTTGTCACCTTCTAAGTCCACAAACTGCTTATACATTTATACGGCAATATTTACAAAAATATCATTATAAAGATAACTAGCTAAGTTCCTATATATGTTTTTGTTAGAACGAAAGATAACCAGAAAAGGTAATGCTTCATCAATTTTCCCGTTATTTGTTTATCAATGTTGTTTGTTTTCCAAAACTGTTTGTAAATATTTATTTTACATGAAGTCATTACTGGGTTTAGAGAGGGATGAGGCGCTAAGGCTATGTCGGTGGAAGCAAGTTGACCACTGGAATTCAATTAGAGAGTATGTCTGTAAACTGTAAACCGCATCTGTAATCGAGTCAAAGCCAGCGAAACTCCGACGACAGTTAAGTAGTTGTGCTAAATCAAACGTTTGCAAGTATATGGCCTAATAAACAAACTTGCGGAGGGATGCTATTGAAGCTTAAATTATATTAAGCTTTTACGATTGGGATTCGGTGATGTATTAAAATGGTTCTTTCTTTTAGTATGATTAAAAAATGTTTTATACGTTTGGAATAATAATCGAAAGGACTTAAACAGGCAAAAATCCGTACTGTATTGAATAATAGATAGACCGTCATACTTCATATACATATCTTCCTCTTAGTTGAACATCGATTTAATGCCAACACATTTTCATTTGGTTTATGAGTTATAACGTTGATTTCATAAAGCCCGCTATTTCTCCCCACCATGGGGACGAATAGAAAAGATAGACCTAGTGTAAGAGGAGATAGGGCTGACCGGCCCATTCTTGTTGAAGAAAAAGTGAGAAGAAAAACGTGGCCCGTATTAAGTTTTAAAATTGATTATAAAGTGTTATCAGTTTATGTTTTTTGATTTTAATTTAGTTAAAGGTACATTGTACACAACACACACAGTAAGTGTTTCTGTTTGTGCATGCACAAGAATTTTGGTTAATTTTTCCTTTGTGTATTTTTCTTATTCTTATTGTAAGCATTAATCTTTTTATAATTTGTGATTCGGAATTTATTTTTTTTATATAATTTGTGATTAAGCATTGATCGTTTTTTTTATAATTTATAATTACAATATTTTTAGTCTAGAAGATAAAGTTTTTTGTTCTATTTATTCATGATTCACTGAGGTACGATCCTCCGACTATAAAAAAGGTAAAACAATCACTACAGAGTAACTACGAAAACGCCACACTTGAATGTGAAAAAATGTTGAACCTTATAAATAAGCCGCGTAATATTTATTACAAATGATATGAAATAACAGATTTTTATTATTTATTTATTGTAACAACTTTTTCAACGCTTTCGGAAACTACTAATGCTGTATTCTATATCCTCACACCTAACAACTAAATGCTTACAGTCTCACCACGCCTTGGTTTTAATATAGCAGTATCTTTCCCTCTGTATTATTGTTTGGTTAAATTTATCTTCCTGAATTACTGAACATCTTTATTACCTGTCCTCTTTGTACACATCTGGGCCCTTTCTTATTGTGTGAATCACGCTTCAAATTTCGGCCCAATAGCTTCTGCATTTTCTGGAACTTAAATTTTAAAAACTACTATTTTTTGCGGCCTTTTCATGCGTGCGTAGCCTTTCAAATGTGTTCAAATAAACGACGTGTTGAACAATCTTTTATTGACAATTGCTTTTGGGTTTGTCCTTTTATAGGTTTTATACAAATATATAGTTTTTATCTGCTCAAATAGACCAAAATTCCAGTCAAATATACAATTTCCCCGTCACGTTAGCACTTTTTGATTTGTAATTAATCATTTTTTATTTTGATTTAACATTTACCTGATCAAATTAACCATTTTTAATTTCATATTAACCATCTTTATTTCAATTAAATTCATTTTAAGTTCTAATTAACATTTTTTAACTATAAATTAACCCATTTTTACTTTATATGATTCCTTGTTAATTTCACATTAACGCTTCTTTTAAAGCATTAAAACATTTAGGAGTTGGTATGAAATATCACTACGTGAAATAAAATTCCTGTTCATTTTCAGAATTTTTTTATGCAAAACAAAAGGGCTTTTAGAAGGCCTCATGAATTTTCAATAGTTTTAATGAAAACTTAAAATTTAAGAAATAAAAAATAAAAGTTTCTTCTTTCAATATGAGATAGATTGGTTTATTTCAGTTTAATTAAGAAATTTTTTTATACATTATAAATTTATTAAGTATTATTTTATGTTTAAGTTTAATTATTATCTATTTTCAAGTTTTATATGGTCTTCTAAGAGCATAATTACTTACATTCATTTTTTTACCACATCTTTTTTTTTAAATTGGTTATTATTAAATTCAAATGGGCAAATTTAAAATTAAAAATGTTAATTTGAAATCATACAAAGTTCGTTTGAAATTAAAAAAGAATAATTTGAAATTAAAAAGGTTTAATGTGATGTTAAAAAAAGTATTAATTTGAAATAACAAAGAGTTCATTTGAAGTTAAAACCGGTTAATTGGAAATTAAAAACGGCTATATTGAAAGTAAAAACTGTTAATTTGGCGTGAAAAATGGTTAATTTGACTGGAAAAAGCTAATTTTACTGAAAAAAAATATAATAATTAATGTATAGTTCTCTATCTTTAGTCCAAATGTTTACCTCATTTCCAGCACCCTGCAGATTCTCTGTACCGTCTTCTACTTTGTTGCCAACTGTTGTAAAGAAAACATCATCTGGAAATATGGGAATTATGCTGATCCCTCCAATGAGTTCAGGACGTAAAGAAGGGGCCTAAGTGCGCATCCTGAGGAACACCACTCCCAACCACCAGAATATTCACCTTCAAACTCCAACCGCAAGTGCCTAAGAGAAATATATAATTGAAAAACATTATATTGCTGCATAAGTCGTGCTGAAGCTAAAAAAGCCTTGCTGTGATGCCACACCCCAAACCAGACTTGAGCAAATTGATTTTCCTCGTGACACCCGTGATACGATTAAATTTTCTATTGTATATGCCTTTCCCAAAAATAATGCAATACAATTTCCTTCTAAAATATGCTTTTTATGAAGACCTTAAACAATATAATAGAACAATAAATCGTAGGATGATTAAAACAAATTTACAGAATCATCATGTAATGGTTGACTCCAAAAAGTGAAATAGTCTAATACACTATGTTACGGCCAATGCCGTGTAAGAAAAAAAAATTAAAAAATGAAACGTTAAAATTTAAGAAAATTCTAAATTAAAATAAAATAAGGGAGAAATTCATAGGGGACTTACCACCTTCCTTCAGGTGCCGGCTGTAAGAAGCGTAGGGAGCTCGGGCCCGATTCCTCTGACTTCATCGCAGAATATCCGATGATTCAGGTGGAAGAGATCGATGCAGCAGCACAGAGGGTTTTTCGTGGTCGCGTGATTAAAGACTTTTTTATTAATACGGGAGAAAAAGCATGAGAAAAGAGAGACGTGAGGACCTTTCTATCATAGGAGTAGAACAGGACTGGGTTTGCAAGGAGCGTGGGAGTAGGATTAGGGATTACAATAATCCAAATCAACGTATATTTAAAAATGAGATGGCTGGCGCCAACACACTATATTCGAAGTTGTGTTTATTTACTGAAATTAGTGAATTGACTATCTACTACTATCATTAAATTGTGTACTCATTTTGCAGCCTTAATCTGTTGGAGTTGTAAATAAATAAATAGAACTTCGTCCATTACGAAAATATAATAAAATTTAGACATCCCAATTTGCATAAAAGGCTGGAAAGAATGTAAGACAGTTGTAAAATGTGGATAATCTGTTTGCCCAAATATTGATTAAATTTTAACTGATAGTTTTCCAAATATTAAATAAACTCATAATTTGACCACAACAAAAAAGTCTGTTTTCTTATAGTGGTTCTTTTCTCAAGTGCCCTCAAAGTAGAGTGGTTTATAATTATATATTACTGAACCTAAAAGATAGCTTTTTGAAAAACGTGAATAGAAATTTGGATTTGATAATCTTCATTCAAATTGTCTTTAAATGTAGACATACATTTGGAAAGGTAATTGTGTAAGTCTCAAATGTATTATCAATCGTGAGACGAGATAAAACATATTATTTTGAGTGTCACTCACTCTCCAATTTGTCGATATATAAATTAGACAAATCAGAGATCACAGTTAACGCAAGTGTTTTTCAATCCCAACAAGCTCGAACGAGAAAGCATGAATTGGAATGACCGGTTGCTCAAACAGCGTATACAAGCGGTGTGATTAGGCTGGCGAAAAAAGAACACATTAAAAAAACGATAATTGAAAGTCTGTGAAATAGACAAGGACATTATCACATGATATAGTTAAGAGGAGGGCTGGTATTAAGAGGTTGTCTAATGCCCCGAGTGGATCACTCGCCACCCATGGAGACCGTCCAAATTATCTTCTCCCAAACCCCCTACGTGATCCTTACAACACGAGACGTGTAATTGCTTTAAAATGGCTAAATTAAGTCCATCTCCGATGTCTGAAGGAAACTCCAATTACGAGATAGTGTTTCTGGAAGCGTCTCCCTTCCCCTACGGTTTAATTGACCCTCCTAACTACTTCATATAAAACAATTTTCTGGCGAGGCGAAATTAAACTATTTCATACCACCAATGATTAGGTTAACAAACGAAAATCCTGTTAGAAAATATATGTCGAAATTAAATTACGATTCAATTACCACGTTTTAGTTGAAGAAACGTTTGTTCCTATCTCTCCGTTTGTTTCAGAACATTTCCTTGTCCTTCTCTTTCTTAAGCACGACTTTACTCATCCTTTCACGAGTAGAGCTTGTAAAATATGATTTTACTGGTTAACTCACTATCTATATCTATCAATCTATATTTATTCTTCTTTCTACCCATCATCTCTCTCTCTCTCTCTCTCTCTTTTTCTTTCTCTCTCTATCTCTACTTCAGCAATCGTTCTATCGATTTGTAAAAATATCTCGCCCTTATTCACTCAACAAGACAGTCAACAGCCTTCTTTCGCCCTTTT